CGTGACAAAAACTAATTTCTTCCGAATGAGGGAGGCACCTCTACATTGAGCCACAACATGGTGTAGCTTTTTGCAATACTTGTTAATCATAAAGGCTCCCCATGGTGATGGTTTGCTTCTTAAATTCCACCTCAATTTAAAAAATAAAGCATTAGAAACATCAAAAATGGACCTAAAACCAACACCTCCTTCTACTTTAGGGAGACATAAAGTGTCCCAACTTAATTTCTTTATTATTCTGAGAAAGAGAAAAAAGGAGTCAGTATCTTAAAAGATCATGGAACTATGAGCAAATATCTAGTCATTAAATTTTGTTTTATATCAATAAAATCCCTCAACTTAATGTTTTTATCTTTAAAAATTGCTCAACTACATTAATATTAAAATATTTTTTTATGACAAAATAAATTATTTTATATTCCACTTAAATATGGACCCCACACTAAACATAGTTTAAAATTTTCATTATAATTCTTCTTAATTTACCATTAAAAATATTTGACGTTGATGAATAAATTATTTTATATTCCACTTAAATATGGACCCCACACTAAACATAGTTTAAAATTTTCATTATAATTCTTCTTAATTTACCATTAAAAATATTTGACGTTGATGAATAAATTATTTTATATTCCACTTAAATATGGACCCCACACTAAACATAGTTTAAAATTTTCATTATAATTCTTCTTAATTTACCATTAAAAATATTTGACGTTGATGAATAAATTATTTTATATAATATATAAATTCAAATAAACATTTATATATTTTTGATAATATGATAAATATCAGTATACATATTCGTAAATCATCAATGTTTGTTGTTTCATCAAAATATATCTGAAGTTTGAACAATATTATCCATTCTTCAACCCGTATATTGAGGATGCAATTTCATATTCTGAAATAAAAACCCAACAAAAATCTGGAATCATGAAAGCTACAAAGTTTCAAACCTTGCACCACCTAGTCTGAGGGATTAGCCCAAAGAAATCCTACAAGAAATATGTTTTACTATAAATCACTGTACCCCCATCTTCTGTTTTGTAAATAGTATAATGTACAATAATTATATGGGGTATGAGATAGCATTTTTGGTGATAACTTTGAGTATTCAAAGTTAAAAACAATGTCTATGTACTGATTGGAACAAATAATATGGACTAAGAACTGGAATAATTATAATGGAGAATAACTTCTGCCCATTACTGACGAAAGGTATCTTTTCCCTTTTGATAAAAACATTTTCTGCATTTTCCACAATTCAAGGTAACACAAAACACTGAAATATAATTTAATTAAGGAAAAACAATTCTGGGAATAAATTATAGCACATAAAATACACCCAAAACTTTAACTTTTCTAAACGCAAAATATTCCACAAGGTAGCCATTGTTTTTACTAACCTTCTGGATAAACAGAAACTATAAGACATGCTATTCCTCAACACAAAAAATTGGATACACACTGCGAATCTCAAGTTATTTATTAATCCTTCAACTGTACAACCACATATAGTATGTTACACTTATGACTTACATAAACATAAATTCATTACCATTTCGGTACTGTAAAAGGTGAATCTAGTTAACCATAAAACTTAATGAACTGTGAACTTAACCAATGCTAGTTTCTACATTTCCTAAAATAATCACTACCAACAAAGTACAAGACGCAAATTTAGAATTTTAAGAGAAACAAGTACTCAAATAAAAGAAACTTCAGGAAAAAAAAGATTAAGAAAACGAACCATCTCTTGAGAGAGGGGATTGATGCCAGTGAGGTTACATTGTTGTACAACGATGTTTTCGAGCTGATAAATCTGGCTACAGAGGATTTCCTTCTACGAGTCGAACAAGCTTGAGAACGACGTCGTAGGACTGGTCAAGGCCAGTTGTAATTGATTTTCCATTGTAGACTCCGCCAATTGAAATTCCGATCGACCTCGAAGAAAAAGATCGAACCGATTCATGCATCAGATTCAACAAGCAATTGAAGAAGAGGAGCAAAGCTAAAATCCATCTGGATCGGGTTTCCACAGCTATGTAAATGGGGGAAGAAGAGGAAGTGGGGAACAAATGGATTTTAGCTGTGGAAATCCTAGAACTGTTCCAAATGGATTTTAGCTTTGCTCCTCTTCTTCAATTGCTTGTTGAATCTGATGCATGAATCGGTTCGATCTATTTCTTCGAGGTCGGTTGGAATTTTGATTGGCGGAGTCTACAATGGAAAATCAATTACAACTCGCCTTGGCCAGTCCTACGACGTCGTTCTCGAGCTTGTTTGACTCACAGAAGGAAATCCTCTGTAGCCAGATTTATCTGCTCCAAAACATCGTTGTACAACAATGTAACCTCACTGGCATCAATCCCCTCTCTCAAGAGATGGTTCGTTTTCTTAATCTTTGTTTTTTTTTAAATTTCTTTTATTTGAGTACGTGTTTCTCTTAAAATTATGAATTTGCGTCTTGTACTTTGTTGGTAGTGATTGTTTTAGGAAATGTAGGAACTAGCATTGGTTAAGTTGACAGTTCATAAAGTTTTATGGTTAACTAGATTCACCTTTTACAATAGAGAAATGGTAGTAAATTTATGTTTATATAAGTCATAAGTGTAACATATTATATGTGGTTGTACAACTGAAGGATTAATAAATAACTTGAGATTAGCAGTGTGAATCCAATTTTTTGGGTTGAGGAATAGCATGTCTTATAGTTTATGTTTATCCAGAAGGTTAGTAAAAACAAATTCTACCTTGTGGCATATTTTGCATTAAGAAAAGTTAAAGTCTTGGGTGTATTTTATGTGCTAGAATTTATTCCCAGAAATTTTTTTCCTTAATAAAATTATATTTAAGTGCTTTGTGTTACCTTGAATTGTGGAAAATGCGGAAAATATATTTTATCAAAAGGGAAAAGATAACTTCTGTCACTAATGGGCAGAAGTCATTCTGCATTATAATTATTCTAGTTCTTAGTCCATATTATCTATTCCAATCAGTACATGCATAGACATTGTTTTTAACTTTCAATACTCAAAGTTATCACCAAAAATGCTATCTCATACAGTGATTTGTAGTAAAACATCTTTAAACTATTATATAAAATAATTTATTCGTCATGTCAAATATTTTTAATGGTAAATTAAGAAGAATAAGAAGAAGAAGAATTATAATGAAAATTTTAAACTATGTTTAGTTGTGGGGTCCATATTTAAGTGGAATATAAAATAATTTATTTTGTCATAAAAAAATTATTTTAATGATTAATGTAGTTGAGTGATTTTTAAAGATAAAATTATTAAGTTGAGGGATTTTATTGATACAAAACAAAATTTAATGACTAGATAATTCTCATAGTTCAATGATCTTTTAAGATATTGACTCCTTTTTTCTCTTTCTCTAAATGATAAAGAAATTATGTTGCAGGCGAATAAAGTGTTGAAAACACCAACCAAATTGATCTCATTTGCATCAATCTCACATCTTCATTCATTTTTATGATTGAGCTCCTTAGCACCATAATTACATTCACATGTATATAACATAAAAGTATTCAAAACTCAACAAGTGAACTCCTAAACACAAGTTAAGAATATAGAATACGGGTACTCCTACCATCCTAACTGAACCTCCACAACTACAACCTGCATAAAATTAGTCCAACCTAATTATTCACAAATAATGTAGCACATACCTCAATAACAACACTTCGACAATTTCAGATCAACAATACACGAGATCAAGTTCACCAATCACAAGTTTCACCGAAAGGCACTCAGAAGTTCACAAATAATAAATATATGCATTGCAATTAAATCTAATGTCAAGTATAGCGATGCATGTCTTACCTAGTGACATACACCCGTTGTCTCTCAGTCCGAGACCCATGAGGGACATACATGTTTATGCATCCATCGCGACATGCATTATGAACCTTGATAATAAAATCAGTCACGATGTGTGACACGTCCATAGATAATAGAATATGGCACAACAAGCAACACCTCCCTTGAATCATAATATATGTCGCGGCGCACGGCATGTCCCTCGAATTGATACATCCTCTTTAATTTCTTATCCTTCCTCTGTAATGACCCTCCAGGTCATTTTTAAATTAAAGCATTCATTCCCTCGTTTAGAACGTTCCTGTAGCGACCCCAAGTCATTTCTAACTTGCTGGCACTAACTGTTCGGTCGCCTGGTCGTTCGTTTGGGTATTAGGCCCCGTTTTCCCTGTTTTTGGAGATTTTTTATAACTTGAAAAAGTTGAACTTTGGTCAACCTTCTTGAAAGACGTGCTCAGATGAAAATTCTGACAGTTAGGTTAGCTTCGGAATATCGATTTTGGTCTAGAACGACCTTTTGTTCACTTCCCGAGGCTTTAGATGGCAGTTGTGGAATCTGGCTCAAAACGATACTGGGTGTGGGACCCACTTTTCATCGAAGCGATCTCCAAATGGAAATTCCGCCTTCACCGTTGAGTCCGAAATGTCATTTTCAACCAGATTCCATATATGGTTTGTATTTTTCCGACTCCGAACGAGTCCGGATTATCAAAATTTAAGTTTGAAGGGTTGTAGAATTCTAACGCGGCGGTGACGTGGCAGAGCCACGCGACGCCACGTGGCAGCGGATGGAAATCTGGAAATTTCCAGATTTTAGGACGAATTTCGTCCATTATTTCTTTCACATCTTCAACATAAGATTTCTCCTCCATTTTAAACCCAAATTAAGTGATTCAAAAGGCTAACTTCAAGATATTTTCATGGGGAATCTAGAGGTGATCTCAGGAACGCGAGGGGAGGTTTCGGTTGAGGTAAGAAATCGAATTTAGCTACTGCTAGGGTGATTTTCGGAATGAATTTTGTTGAATTTTGAAATGTTAGATCTTGATAATCTTAGGTCCGTTTTGAGTCATTCTTGAGGCTAACTTGTAGAGTTTTTCGCAAGGATCGTCGTGGTATAATCTATTTGGGTTGGAACGGTCTCGTTTTTCCAGAAATGGGTGATCAAGGGGCTGCTAGTGTTAATTGTTGTGGCTGATTTGCGATGTTTTAGGCATCTGTTTGTGCTAAATTTTGGGGTATTAGTTTAGTAAGGTATTTGGGACGTTTCCACGGAGTCGATTTTGAGATTCTAATTGTGGGCCCCACAATCCCGTTTTAGACCCGATTTTGGGTCCGTCTCCGAAAAATATAATTTTAGTGTCAATATATTCGTAATGACGAGGTGATTAACCTTTTGTTAGTGGGGAAGCATTTGGAGACCGTTCGGAGAGGAAAAGATCTGGTACCGTGAGTTGGAGCACGCGTGATCGGCTTTCAGGTAGGCTATG